TTCTGGTCTCAATAGTAAGCTACAGCTGGCTATACACATGCTTCAGTCATCTCTACGTACTTTGGGCTATACATATCCTTGAGTCATTTCTATGTACTTCTGGTCTCAATAGTAAGCTACAGTTGGCTACACACATGCTTCAGTCATCTCTATATTAACATCTTGTATCTGTACTACCACCGTAGATGCTGGTATTCTCCTTGCCGCCAATTGCAGATGACCTACTCACTCAGCGGCGCAAAACCTTCGCATCTGATTGGTCGAATTTAACCCATGCCATATTTAGCCAGAGTGGGCTGGAATCGGTATCGTACAGAAATGTGCTGAAACATTCGATAGGGAAGGTTGACGGGGACCAGATCGACACTCAGTGTGCGTCGAAATACTCTGCAGTGTATTAGGACTAGGTCTGAAGGTGAAACGAAACCACCCACCTGCTGTATAAAACTTACATGGCACGACTAACATGGACACAGCCACAGACACAGACACAAACACACACATACACGCACACACACACACACAAACATACATATACACATGAACGCACACACACACACACACACAAGCATATATATACACATGAACGCACACACACAGGCAGCTGTATGCTGTACGATGTGTATTACCACCCCGAGAATATGCAAAATAAGGGCTAACACTCCCAAAACTAAAAGGTTGTGGTCTCGTTTGTGAGAGGAGACTAAGAGTGACTCCAAGAACCCAACGCACTTAATTCGTGTATCTGATACAACAATACATAAAATAAACAGACCTGATATGAATCGTTATTGGCATTTTGAGAACATATAGGTTACACATGCGATGCATTCACGGCCCTTGCGGTGTTCAGCACAAGTTGTGATGCAGGTGACGAATTGTGTGTTTGGTGTAGACACCCACACACACACACACACATATATATATATATACATATATGTATATATAAATATATATATATACATATACATACATACACACACACACACACACACACACACACACACATATATATATATATATAATAATATACATATACACACACATATATATATACA